CTCTCGATTAGTACAGTGCCGATTGCTTTTGTTCTATCGTTTTAGTTGTTTGGGATGCAGTGACAAGCAGTCAAATATTTTGCTGAACAGATCCACCACTTTTGATGCTCGTAAATGTTTATAAAGTCCTCGTTTTGCACTTATTAGGAGGTTTGCTGAAGGTGCAGCTGTCGTGCAGCGAGGAGTTGGCATCCTTAATAAACTATGACAGTTCGCGTTAATTAAAACGTAAGAATGTAAGAATGTTTAATAAATCCACACTTCTCAAACGAACCAGTAAACGTACCCGGGCATGGTTCGGATAGCATAGTGTGAGTATGCCCTATAACAGGGGTGACCCCTGTTCCCTGACCCCTGTTCCTGGAGATCGACCTTCCTGCAGATATCAGTTGCAACCAGTATCAAACACACCTGCCTGTAATTATCAAGTGCCGTTCGGGTCCTAATAAATTGATTCAGGTGTGTTTGATCAGGGTTGGAGCTAAACTCTTTAGGAAGGTCGATCTCCAGGAACAGGGTTAAGCACCCCTGCCCTATAAAGAGACACTGTTCCCTGAGCAACTCCTTTACACACCACGGGAACTGGAATGAACAGTTAGTGTGTGTGCTTTGAAGGATGAATATGCATACAAATATGTAAAAAAAATAAAATAAAAAAATAAAAAATCTTAAATGAGCATAAACAGTTTGGAAAATAATCAAATGCTTGTCATTATAGAGTTTATAAAACTTATAGTCTGTAGTGCATTTGATATTGAAGCTCCTCAGTTATTTGACGTCAATCATACAACAAATCAGAGTCACAAGAAAGCGAGAGATTCATTCACTGCTTTTGACAGAACAATTACAGTAACTTTAATAAGAATATGTGTATATTTGATTCATATAGTGAAGAAAAAGTGTAGAAATTTGATTACTTGATTCAATTTGACTCAAATCCTTATATCTGCATATGTATATTAACTATTAGTTGTATTTGCACTGCAGATATTTGCACTTGACTAATTTTATCACTGGCTATTTCATCTCACTTATGTTTGTTGACAATAAAACTGCTTTGAACAGATTAAGGGGTTTGGATTTTTGCTAACGCGCTAATAGGGGCCTGCAGAGTTTGGCTTTGGGCCCCTAGAAGTCTTGGATTGGCTCTAAAAATAAATCTTTGCTGTCCCCTGGATATGTCTGTGAATTTTCAGCTGGAAATACTCCCAAGTTTATTTACCGTAGCCTGTCCTATTTGGCCCTATTTGGGTGTCAGCAAAATATATGGTGTTTTGTTTGTGCCACTTTAAATGCAAATGATCTGCCGCTTTCCAGGGGTGGAGCCTCTTGCTTTATACTGACACTTCAGAAACATCCAAAAAAAAAAAAAAAAAAACGGTCTAACACAGCTAAAATTTCAGAATAATTACGAAGAGGAAGAGGACACAACTTCTAGACAGAATTGGATGTCTCTGAATGATTTTCTTATGCATTTATTTAATTGTTAAGAAGTTGAATCAACTTATAATGCTATAATTCTTATAGATGCTGATCAGTTTCATCTATTTGCAACTATATAAAGAGAGAGGTCAGCAACATATTTTGAACTTCAGAGGGGGATCAAGCCTCATTTATGGTTGCTAAACCACCCCCGCCTCTAATTTGCACCCTGACATGGACTATTTGCAGTATAAAATAATAGCAGAACTTTGGTCTGTGAATACAGTTAGAAATGAAAATCCAGGGTTTTTAAGAGTCTGCAGCATTTCCAAAAGTGTTTTTGAGGGTCAATAACTCTGGAGTGGCGTTGATGCTTGGTGTAACCATAACAATAGTTGTGTATGTTAAAACATAAAGCACTAGCGTAAATATAGCTTGAGCTTCCTTTATGCTCAAGTGCCAGTTTTTGATGAATGATATTTGATGTCTGGAACACGCGGGTCTGTCCTTGGAAAAAGGCAGAGTTTGCCTCACTCAGAATCAAGATTTATTTTTTTTTTTAAATCCTCATCGAGGTGACCTGAGCCACTTTGCTGATGCATGCAATAAAGAGAGCTGTCTGGGAAACTCAAACCGCGCAGCTTCCAGAGCCGCTGGCTGTGAGCCCGCTGAACTGAAGCGCTATCAGTGCTGAGCAGCAGACTGCACCTGTTCCTTTAATGCAGTGCCCAGGACCACATGCTGACACAGAGACCGCATTGTTGTTATTGTTTAAGACAGGCTTTTAGGAAAGGCCAGAGTCAACCAAAGAACTGTTAAACACTGGAAATGCGCCAAATTGTGTCCAAACCGAGTATGGACTATAAGATGGAAGTGGCAAGCAGTTTTTTACACAAAAATAGCAAATGCTATTATCAAGGTTTTCAATAGTTTCTTCTACACCAAATCAGCATATCAGAGGGACGACATGTGGCAATGAAGACTGAATGATCAGCTTTCTGTCATAGGAAAACATCACATTTTAAAATCTGTAATTTAGCCTCAATGATTACTGTAATTTTCTCAGTAATGGGTTGCAGCTGGAAGGGTATCTGTTGCGTAAAACATATCCTGGATAAGTTGGCGGTTCATTCCGCTGTGGCGACCCCAGATTAATAAAAGGACTAAGCCGAAAAACAAAAGAATGAATTAATGATTACTGTAATCTAGAAAACATAGACAGAATTGCAGAATCCAATAAATAAATAAATAGAAAGTAGCACTGCATACTAATCAAAACACCATGTCTTTAAGGTTTTGTGAATCAGTAACAATTAAGAATAGCAATTGAGTTATTTAATTTTGTTGAGTTATAAATGTTTTCAGTCACAGGTGAATTGGGTAAGCTAAATGAATGAGTGAATGAGTGTGAATGGATGTTTCCCAGTGATAGGTTGTGGCTGGAAGGGCATCTGCTGCGAAAAAACATGCTGGATAAGTTGGTGGTTCATTCTGCTGTGTGGACCCCAGAACAATAATGGGACTAAGCCGAAAAGAAAATGAATAATGAATGAAGGTTTTCAGTTAGATTTAGTCACATATTTCACTTTTTTTTTTTTAGTATGTTTCATTAATAAAATATTTGTAAAACTCACAGACAGATATGACAATTGATCAACAATATTGATCTATGAATATGTTTAAATATGGAAATGTCCACCTCAAGCTTTCCCCCCTGAAAACATACAAAAAGTAATCATTACAAAAAAAGTTTTGTATTTTAAAATAAAAATGTTCTTTACAATATTCAGTTCAATAAATCTATTTCTATAGTGTTTTTAGCAATGAAGATTGTGTCAAAGAAGCTTAGCATAGATAAAGCTATTCATCATTTATTCTCTTTTTTATTATTATTGTTGTTATTATTATTATTAATAATAATATTATTATGTTATTAGTATTATTCAGGTAGAGGCTTTAAAAGACATCTTTTGTAAGCTGTTTGAACAGAACTGTGTGTAGGTATAGTGTGTACACGGTCATATTGGAGTGATATAAACCCAACAAGTCTCTTTTTTAAACTTTCCTGACCTTAAGAAAGGACCCAAATCGCAGTGATTTTAAGGTACCCGCTACGTGACGTAGGTGTGTGGTTTTCCCCACCCACCGAATTGATTGACAGATGCCATGTTTCTATAATAACATGTAGAACATTTTTGCAAATAAACTGGGATTAAAATATTTGTTCCAACTCTTTGATTTGCATAAGTTTAAAACATTTTAAAATAGAGTATGTTTGTAAGAAAGACAGTAAAATTTCTGTGGAATTCTTAACTGCTATAATCACCTTGGTTGCATGGTGTCAGTAAGCTGAAATATATCTGTGTGCGTACCGCAAACAGCATTTGTGTGAGACTCGTCATTTCAGAAAGGCTTGAATAAACTCCACCACAAATACACAAAATAAACTTACTTTTGAATAATGAGCTGTGTTTTAGCTTCATCCGAGTCTGTCTGTGTCACTGTGCTGTTTATCTGACGTAACTCATGATGAGAAACAGACATGCACATTGGAATAGTGGGTGGGGAGAAGCATCTCATTTGGATTTAAAGCCACAGGCCACAAAAACAGCTACAGTATACTCAGACACCAAAATGGGCAAATTCTGGAGGCTATAATAAATTATCTGATGGGTGTTTCGAGCTGAAACTTTACAGACACATTCTGGAGACACCAAAGACTTATCTCACATCTTGTAAAAGCAGTAAAATAGGTGCTCTTTAAATAATAATTTGGCCTTTTGCCTTATATTTATGCTATATATATAATATAATATATAGATACATTTTTTTATTTTTATTATTCTTATTATTATTATTATTATTATTATTTAAAAAAAAAATTTAAAGTGGGAGCTGTGCCCCAGTAGAATTTTATGTCTAGCAATGGCCCTGGTAAAAACATAATCGCATTTATACCACAATGGAGTTCAATGCTGAAAACCTGTGTCTGTTCCTACCTTTACCTTGATTTGCTCGCCATCTTGTGCATTGCTTTTTTTGTCAAGTGACTTTTTTTACATTTTAAAATTTTGATTCATTTATTACATTTAATTGGAACATTTAATTTCAGTTGACTTTTTTTGTAGCTCTGCAATAAAACAAAGAAACAAAAGGTTACGTTTAAATCGAAGTAATGATCTCTGTCAAAGACATTCGCTCCAACCAACTCCCCATCATTCTCCTTCTCTTTTTTCAGATGGGATAGTGGGCCAAATCAAAGGTTACCATGGATCAACTTTGCCCCATGGGCCAACTTTGGGCATCTCTGATCTAAACATTTTAAAAAAATTTCTGCTTGTTCAAACTAATATATATAAAATGAGCTGAGTCAACACAATTCTTTGTTAAACAAATTAACTGTTTAAGGTTCAATTTATTTACATTTGTAAAAACAAATCTATTACCTTAATCCATTTGTGTTAAAACAACATGAAAGAATTTTATCAAACCCAGCCTTTTTTTATGGTGTATGTAACTTCATCTTATTCAAGCATACTATCTAAATATGTCTTTTCATCTCTGCTTTTTTTCTCCAGCTACTGTCAGAAAGCCAGATCAACATGGTGAAAGTGGTGAACTCGGTGAGTGACGCGCTCAGCTCCATGCAGAAGGAAAATGGAAACATCAAGAGCCGTCTTAAGGCAGATCTGCAGAGGGCTCCGGTGCGCAGTGTCCGGCCCAAAGGCTGCGCCGCTGGAGAGGGTAAAAAAAACTCCTCATTAGCCACATATTCTCAACTCTCCAGCAGGCCCTAATGAGCCCTGGAAATGGCTTCACACCTATATTTCCTCGTAAGATTCCCTAGCAGTGTGAAAGAGACATGCCACTGCTTAGACAGCAGGAGCGACACGACAGATTTAAAGTCTAAAAGCTTTCTTTTCTTATATTGAACATTGAAAGGGTCTCAAAACATACAAAGACCAATGCAGTTATGGCTTGGAGCTTAATACAGGGTGTAAAGTTAAGTGAAAGTACAAATGCTGAGCAAAAAGTTTATTCAGTTAAATAATTTAAGTATCTGGCCAAAATTTAAGTTAATGTTTTGAGTAAAATTAAATATGTACTTTATAGTAATCAACAGTGTTGGTTAAATTACGTTGAAAAGAAAAAGTAATAGATTATAAATTACTGACTACTAATGGAAAAATTGTAATCTGATTACATTTCTAATTAATTCATGTAACAAGTAATCAGATTACTAATTACTTTAGTTAAAAGTTACTTTTAAAACATATAAAATCTATAAAAGTACAACATAAACTGCAGCTCTTTCAGTAATTTAATATTCACTCTAAAATATTACAATGGGTTGATCACAGCAGCTTGACATATTCAAAAGACTTAAAGAGTTCGCCCAAAACCTAAAATTCTTTTATCATTCTCTTGTTCCAAACCCGTTTGTCTTTTTTTTTAACACAAAAGAAGACATTTAGAAAAAACATCCATTGACATCCATAGTATGCAAAAGCAGTGCAGTGTTTGGGTGTTCTGTGTTTGTCTAAGGAAATCCGTCCACCAAAATGTATATATTCCATACAAAGCATGAAGCTGATCAGTCAGTTCTTGCTATGTGACTTTTTCAATTGGGTGTGCCTGGGAAATGTGAGCATGCAACATGCTCTCCTAATGTGCACACTCGCAAAAGACACAATATGTGAAAGCAGCTACACTTCTCTTCACATTCAGAAGATACCTTTACTCCTGATCCTGCACAAAAATCCAATTTAGCCTGTTTAGGCTGAGTTGGGCCGCTGTGTTTCTGAGTGACGGTGTTCTCCTTGGTAACGAGTAATGACGTAGAATGTTTTCTGTTCAAGTGCTTGAACAAGTTGTTGATCGAGTTAAAAGCAGTTGACAGTTCGTTAAAGACTGGACATGGACTTTTACAGCAGTGTTTTTGTTTTTACGCTCAATGAAATCAAAGTAATGTCTGTTTTTGCACTTGAAAAAGCAACCACTCTCGACAGCTCAGTCACTCCTTGTATTCAAACCATTTGTTAAGGGATTTATAAAGCATAAATAGTCCTCACTTTAGATTAGGTCACAAAACTGGATGTAGTTGAGTTAATAAAGCATTTTATGTAATGTAATGTAATGTGTCGTTATGTAGCGCATTTATTGTGTATGGCCATACACCCAAAGAGCTTTATAATCATGAGGGGGGGTCTCTCCACACCACCACCAGTGTGCAGCATCCACTTGGATGATGCAAGGACAGCCACAGGACAATGGCGCCAGTGTGCTCGCCACACACCAGCTATTGGTGGAGTGGAGAGACAGTAATACAGCCAATTCGATGGATTGGGATGATTGGGAGGCCATGATCTTAAGGGCCGATTGAGAGACTTTGGCCCCCTACTCTCCCCTACTCTTTACGAGAAGTGCCATGGGATTTTTACGACCACAGAGAGTTAGGACCTTGGTTTTAACGTCTTATCCGAAAGACGGCACCCACTGACAGTATAGTGTCCCCTTCACTTTTACTGGGGCATTAGGACTCACACAGACCACAAGTTGAGCGGGGGCTGACCTTTCTAGCTCAACTTCCAACAGCAAGTTAGTTTTTCCCATGTGGTCTCCCATCAAGGTATGACCAGGCTCAGCCCTGCTTAGCTTCAGTCTTGGGCTGCAGGGTGATATGGCTGTGGCGTATGTTTATTAACATACAAATTAATTATTAGTATATGCCTAAATAATAAGAATTCCTTCCTTTTCTTTTCGGCTTAGTCCCTTTATTAATCCGGGGTCGCCATAGCGGGATGAACCGCCAACTTATACAGCCCATGTTTAACGCAGCGGATTCCCTTCCAGCTGCAACCCATCTCTGGGAAACATCCATACACACCCATTCACACCCATACACTATGGACAATTTAGCCTACCCAATTCATCTGTACCGCATATCTTTGGATTGTGGGGCAAACCGAAGCATTCGGAGGAAACCCAAGCGAACGCAGTGAGAACATGCAAACTCCACACAGAAACGCCAACTTACTCAGCCGAGGCTCGAACCAGCGACCTTCTTGCTGTGAGGCGACAGCACAACCTACTGCACCACTAATAATAAGAATTATAAATGTTAATTTGAATATGTCATTAATCATTTACTCTCTTATTCTAAATGATCTTTAAAAACAACCAACTATGCTTAAATAACTGGTTTGTAAATAATGCAATACTTAATTTAGTAATGAAAAATAAAGCATTACCAAATTACGAAAGTACAATTATTAAGTACATTATAAATGTGCTTATAAGTCAGTAATACAGCATTTGTATCTTCAGTTATAAACTGTTTACTAACGTTTATTAATGTAGAGTTAATGCTTAACAGATACTGAATTCACTATTTGCTAATGTTTAATAAATGATTTATAGTGTGTAGTTATTATAAAAGTTTTAGTATCTTTTTGCAAGAGTATATTTAGAGTACATCATGCTCTGTATATGCATGTGTGTGTGTGTGCGAGAGCAGGCATTGATGAGCTCCGGAGCATCAGAGACGATCTCATTAATATTCATGACCATTCCAAATATAGTCAAACCGTGATTTTTATTCTAGAGCAGGGGTGCCTAAACTTGGTCCTGGAGGACTGGTGTCCAACTTGTTTTAAAACACTTGCTATGAGTATACCTTGTAGGAGCTTGATTGGCATGTTCAAGTGTGTTTGATCTAAATTCTCTAGGACACCGGCCCTCCGGGACCGGGTTTGGGCAACTCTACTCTAGAGCTTATTCTTCTTGTTATAAATTAGTATATGCAACCATTTCTGCAGATTTTTTTACTCTCTTAGGCCAGTCTTGAATCAATGCACTATATGGCACCTTTAAAAATACATACAATGCAGTAATCAAGTACAATTACTCAAGCACTTAAAATACTTACAATGCCGTAATCATGTACAATTACTTAAGTATTTTAAAGCACTGTTCTTAATGTGCATTGATGATGCTGGCATGCATCTTCTGGCAGGTTCCAGACCCAGAGACTGCAGTGACATCTATGCCAGCGGGCAAAGAGAGGATGGCATCTACTCGGTGTTCCCCACGCATTACCCAGCAGGCTTCCAGGTCTTCTGTGACATGACTACTGATGGAGGCGGGTGGACGGTGAGTCGCTGATGTGTCACTTCATAAGTCATGCGATGTTCGGACGTACTTTTTGGTCACCTCCGGGCATTTTTTATGTATTTATATATATATTTTTTTTGCTAAATGTATTTGAGCAGCCGTAGGAATAAAAATCACTTGTAATGAGTCACTCCATTAGGCATTGACTTGTTAAGCGTAGGCTCCCACGCATTAGTAAGCAGGTCACAGATACGCACATGAATGCATTCGCATGCACAAACACGCTTCAAACCGATGTTTCACTAGTGTACAGTTCATTACAGCTGCTGCATACATAATAGACTAAGCAAACTATCTGTTCTGAGAGCATTAGCTCGTATGTAGGAGAGTATTCATTTCATGGTCTTTTGAATAATGATAGAGATAAGACATGGACTGGCAGTGTGTGTGTGTGTGTATATATATGAGAATACATATATATACAGCTTTGGAAAAGAATTCTCTAAAATTTTCAGTTTGTCCAAATTTATATTTTGCAGTAATGTCATTGATGAAACAGAATAGTTTAACTACTGATGATATTTCAAAAACACTTTGAATGATCTTTTATCACTTCAAAAACACATGTTTTAGACATGTCTATTGTCATTTTTTGACCACACAATACCATTAATTTAATTTCAGAAGCATCAAAACATAAATATTTGGTACAATAACCCAGATTTTCAATCAAAAACTGTAAACATTTCTTTCCATTTATTGTTTGCGTTTTACTTGTATAAAATAAAACAGATATTACAATTTTAGTCAAACTTATTCCTCATTAATTCAGTAAATCCAGAGAACATGCTTTTATTATGCCTTTATTAAAAGAATAATTCAGATGTTGTTAATAATCGTATCATTTGGGTAAGTTTATTTGGTTTTATTTGTCAATTGATCCATTTTTGGAAACTCATTTTGGAGTTGTTGTTATAGCAACAGGGCTGTAAGCTCAGGGTTATTGAACATAAACAAGATAAGATTAGTGGAGGGGATGCTCAAACCTTTCTGTGCTGCTGCTTTATTCTTTACCAGAGAGGGCTATATATATACACACAAAAAGAATGTTTTATTACTTTCGACAATTAGACAGCCTTCTCTGGTATTATTATATTGTTTTTCATTTTTCTATTTTTATTTTTATTGTTGTTATTGATATTTAATTCAGTTGAAAACATATATAATTTTTAGAATATTATTTAGTTTTTGAACATTTAGATTTTTAAACATTTTTGTTTTAATTTTTTAATTTATTTTAGCTAAAATAGATAAAAATTTGACATCTTACAAAATTGTATTATAGTTTAAATAATTTAAAAAATCTGACAAATAGGCAAAAAAAGAGTATTTTAGTATCATTCAGACAACTAGGTTTTGCCTATTTGTCAGATTTATTTTAAAGAAATTAACAATATACCACAATTTTGTATGATCACTAATTATTTTTATATTTTATATTTCTGGAGATCGTGAATTATGTAGTCAGAAATACGTAAGGCTGCATTTCGTCTTTAAAATGAACACTACAGGGCGGTGTAGCGCCGTTCCTTTTCGCGCTTACCAGCTGACCCCTTAACTTTGTATGGACGGCATTACCGTTTTTACCAGTTTGTCCAGTAGCTCGCCATGTATGTCAGCAAACTTGAATCACAGAGGAGTTGACCACAATGACAGGGTTCGAGTCTGGCAAAATATGGTAGGATTTTCACTGTACAATTGCAATTACAGTAAGTGGAACACAATGATTGCTTCAAAGTGGCACGTTTCCAAGGCTTTCTTTTCAGACGGCATGTTTAATCGTCTTAAAAAGTGGTTTAATCAGTTCTCAGGGAGGTACGTCTGTTGTGCTTTCCATATCAACAATTAACTTCAGATCTTCAACATTTTCAATCCTCTAAGAATATGAAAAAAGCACTTTGTTTTAATTTCATTCAGTGCCATTATGTGTACGACAAACGAATTAGAGTATGTGAAATGTATCTGATAATGAATAATTGAAAGAACACTGTCACGCCGTATCCTCATTTGCTCTCTGTCCTCCGAAGACTCTTTGAACAATACTTGGAGAACATCATAAGCTTTATTTCTGTGTTTGCCTGTGCAAGGCTATTGCAATGAAAGAAGATATTTCAAATAACAGATGGTGTTACTAAGATTTTGAGCATCCTGATATGAAAAAACACAGCGGGGGCCAGGCTGACATCTGCAGGAAGAGGAAAGAAGATATTTGATGACACATCGTCTTTATGGTCATCATCCACTGTTTCATTAAGATCAGTGGTAGAGGCATTGGGGATTTCGTGCCAAATGTAAAAAACTCCCAACTTTAGCCCTGCAATGAAATAGGAAGATGCTTTTCAAATTATATTTAACAGAGCAAGGAAATTTTCACATTATGTCTGATAATATTTTTTCTTCTGGAGAAAGTCTTATTTGTTTTATTTTTCCTGGAATAAAAGTAGTTTTTACTTTTTTAAACCCTTTTAAGTTCAATATTATTAGCCCCTTTAAGCCATATTTTTTTCCATTGTCTACAGAATAAACCATCATTATACGACCTAATTACTCTAACTTGCCTAATTAACCTAGTTACACCTTTAAATTGCACTTTAGGCTAAATACTAGTATCTTGAAAAATATCTAGTAAAATATTATGTGTTATTAAATATGAAATTAGTTGTTAAAACTATTATGTTTAGAAATGTGTTGAAATATATCGTATTGCTGTTAAATACAAAATGGGGGAAAATATATAGAGGGTATAATAAATCAGAAGGCCTAATAATTCTGACTTCAACTCTCTATGTATAAACATAGACATATTTTGCAATGAAGTTATTAGAAATAAATTATTTCAATAGATACTACCATCTTTCACAGTGCTTAAATTAAATTTTCATGCCTTCCCTCATGTTTTATAACCTTGTCTTTTTGTTTGGCGATATTGTAATAACAAATATGCTTTATAAACCCCTATTGCATAAATTAATGGGCAATAATATTTCTGAAAAAAAGTGGATGGCACTATATAGTAGCACCCTATAGAAACCAAAAGGACACTACATATCCTTGTGTACCAAACACAGTCACATAGTGGCCTTCATTCTGACACAATCTCAGGACGCATATTTTCATGTTTGCTTATGTTGGCTTGCATACATGGTGTTGAAAAGGGTGACATATTGTATCCCCTGATTACAGTCAAAGCTGCTTTGCGGCAGTGGAAGCATTAGCTTAACACATCGTCTTTCACCGTTAAGCGTGCCGTGAGCGCTGGGAATCTGAAGAGGCAGAAAGGAACTGTTACAGGGAATTAATAGATCCAGCACCCCTATTCATCATCTCCGGCCTCCAGCGGTTTTTGATGAGGATGTGGGGCTTTTCTTCTGGTACCGGAGTAGATCAGGCCGAGTTCAGACGGGTCACGGAGAGGGTTGCTGAAGGAGGGGGTTATAATTTCACATGCTTGGACATGCACACAATCCCTGTCACGGACATTCCTAGTTAGTGGAGGAATGAGCTCTCCTCTCTCCTCTCCAAACGCTCGCTCTCTGGTGTTTTATTAAAGGAATAGTTGAGCCTGAAATGAAAGTCTGTCATTATGTACTCTCCCTCATGTTGTTCCAAAGTCACATGGTGTTATTTATTTATTTATTTGTTCTTTTGAAGAATAAATATGGCTTTTTTGAAGGACTTTTTATACAGCAATTCATAGTTGATATGCATATCATAGAAAAACAAAACAAAAGCACCTACACTTTAAGTGAATGTTGAAAAACATTTCTCAAAAGAGGATTTAGAATATATAATGTATCAGTCATTTTGAAGAACCAGAATTCTGATAATTTTAATCCAGGCTCATTCTGATTACGTATACCTATTTACATTTCTAGAGAAAGTAAAATGCGTCCCAGGAGCTTCGTTTTTTGCAGTTTTTTTTTTTTTCGTGAATCCACCTGAGGTTGTTGTGTACGCTTTTTCAGATCTCAGTTGTGGAAGATGATCATCAACTGAAGACTGGGCGGGGTGGACAATCGCAAACTGAAGTCTTAGGAGCAGAGGGGGTTGTCTTGGTGTTGGTTATGTGAATGATCGCAAATTAAAGAGCATGCAAGAGGGTTGAGAGATGGTTGGGGCCATGGAGTGTACGATCGTGAACTGTAAAGCGTGAGGGAGGGGAGTGGTGGTTAGAGGTGGCCCAAGATTGCGAACTGAATAATTTTTAATTTGGACAATTATGAACTTCAAAAGCTGTGGGGGGGGGGGGGGGGGGGGGGGGGTGTACGGGTAATTTTTTATCAAGAAAAGAAGGGCATGTGCTCTGCCTAGGTCGAGCTTTACCTGTACACGTGCCTGTTAAGTGGCCAGCTGGTAAGCGCTAAAAGCAACAGTGCCATACCGCCCTGTAGCATTCTTTTTAAAAGTTGAAATGCAGCTCTATGTTCCTCTGAGTACATGATTTGGGATCTCCAAAAATGTATACAGGGCTACGTTTTCAGAATGAGCCTATGTTGCAACAATTTCCATGTTCCAGGCATTTGCAGTGTGATTATTACACTCGTTGTAAACTGTGACTGTTCAAGACCGTTTTTTGATTCTCTTTGACAGATTCAACTATAAGAATATGCATAAGAATCATACATTTGTTAAACCAAGTTTAGATAACATGATTTTTTTTCAGATTTCGGCATCATTTACTTGACGTACAGTGTCCGTGGGGTTTTGTAAATGACAAATGAGATTCAGGACGCAAGATTTAGTCATTTCTTCTCATGTAGTGTTTTATAGTACATGACAATCAATGCTTTTTCTGCAGTTAACACAGTCAACACAGAAAGTCAAGCATGTTACATTTTTTCACTGTTGTTTACATTAGGTTACATTCCATGGGAAATACTTAACTTGAATTTTTCACCAGATGTTGTTAACAACCAAAGAAATTCATATATGCAAAGAAAACAATATTAATTATTTTACAAATTACATTATGCGTAATA